AGTTAGTATACTATACTATACTTTTTTGATAATTTTCTGGCACTAAATTGAAGGTTACATCTTTATAGGTATCTAAGAAACTGAGAAGACAAGTTGAGTTATTTTGACTTCTTTAAACCTGTACTATCACTTCTTAAAATTTCTGCACAACTATTATTCGAAAGAGGTACAGTCTCGTGCAATATAGTTTGGTCGTCAATCTCATTTTTTGACAAACTTATTTTTGTATAATTTGAAATTTATAGCATACTGTCAGCAACAATAGAAAGCCAGTCGACGTTTAATTTAATTTTGACTTTTTGAGACAGAGAGCAATTACAAAAGGTAAATTATGAAATCCTGATATAGAAGAATAATTTTTTAGTGACATTGACGCCCAAAATATTTTGCACGCGATTGCATATGCGGTAAAAATCTTTTTTTGTATACGCTCCCGAAAACAGCTGTTTTAGTGACTCGTTTGAGTCTTTTCCGGACTCAATAAATTAGTACGCAAAACGATTATTTTAGGTACTCAGTCCCGAAAAACAGTTTTTGCGGACTAAACAATAAAATAAGTTACTATGGTAACGAAATTGTTTTAATTTGTAAAAGGTGTGAATTCGTGATTTGGTAGCTTTAACAAAAAAATCTTGTATGCACCACGTACTCAAAAGGTTTTAGGTGACCCCTCTCATTAAAGACTCGGCTCCTACGTCGCCGTCACCTCCGTTATTAATTACGATTCGTCTCGTAAAACCCTATTTTGCATACTTGGTACATAAATAGCTTTTTTTTTTAATTATATTAGATTTTTGGCATATAAAATTTAAAGTATTTTATAGATTTTTATTCTAGTATTATACTAATTTTATAATTTTGTTGTTAAAGTAATGGTTTATTAAGAAAATGTGAGCCATAAAATTATACACAAAAAGAAATGCTGATTTAAAACTGCACAGTGAAAAAAACGTTTTGTTCTGTTGCGATTTTTCTTAAACTTTTTAATAATTGAATTTTGGATTTTGAAAAACAAAGAAATGTTACTAACAAGCTATTGACAGACCGTTTACAGAGTAATTGTGTAATTAATTACATTTGTTGCATTTAATAAGGCAGTTACATAGCTCTCTACTACTATTTTCACATTAATGGAAAAGCTAGGTTTTTTGTTAATTTTACTCAAAAATTAATAAGTGTTTAATGAAATTGCTTTTAAAATAAAAGACAAATTAACATTGGAATCAAATAATTTTTATTGCATTACATTTAATATAAATTTTGTGCAAATTTGCAACATAATATACTTCTATTTGAACAAATTGGTGCTGAACTTGGATTTATATTGGACTTTAATGTATTTTTATTTTATGTCAGTGTTTATAATTTTAGAAGAATCTATCTTTAACTCCTATACGTTTTAACGAAATATTAAAAGGACTTTTGAAAAATTTGAAAGTATTGTTGGTTGTTGTAATAATATTTTTTGGTGACAAAAAAGTTCTTAATTTAATGGCTTTCTTAAAATTGATAACGAAGCTATCTCATTTGTAAATTTTCTTTGGTTCTAACGGTAATCTTTTGAAATAATTTGTTGTACATATTTACTTTCAATTTTTTTTATTACATTTTAACATAAATATTTATCACTTTTCAATACAAATAAAAACCAGTTGCATGTTATGTCTCATAACAATCTAATGATTTTTGTCGGATGTCTAAGATTGGGGTAGGTCAGGGTCGCACTTTGGCAACAGTTTTCGTGTGAGAAATTATAATTATTTGATATAAAGGATGTTCACTAACTAAACTGATTGTGTTATAATTGTGTGTTTTGTACATAATAACCCGTAAATTTTTTGTGTAATCTTCTAACCATGTCATTGTCAACACTGTCAACAGTGAAAAATTAATTAACAGGTAAACTGAAATAAGATGCTCCAACTTGCATAATCCAATTACGAAATGTCATTTTCTTCACAGATATAAGGAAGTGGAAAGGTCTTCCGTAATAACTATGTTCCGTCTTTTAATGAGTTAGTTGTGAGTTTTTTTTTTTACTTTTTTGTACTTTATTTTAACAAAACTTTGAGATATTTATATTTAATCCCTATGAAATAATAGAAGCTCTCGTGTCGTGTAAAAATACGATTAGAAATATGGATAATGTCAGATGGTTTGATTGAAACAGGATTTCTTAGCAGCTTCCATGTCCGCTTCTTATTTAATATTATTTGCAACTAATGAAATTATGCAAACAGATGATATTTGTCAAGTAGTCTTGTTAGTTGCACAAATCTTTGAAACATTAAACCATTCGTTATTAAATATTTAGTTGAGTATTTCTTTTAGTATTTTTTAGATTGGTTATTATGAATCACCAAATTTGTTTTCAATAATAAGTTTAATAATTCTATACGTTAATGGTTAAATTAGTTTTGCACTATTTAACGAAGAAAACTGTAGATTAACGACCAACTTGTATAGGTAAGTTCCATAGACAATGTAACCCACTTTTTCTTTGGGCGTTTTATCATTACCTTTCAAATGAAATATTTAATCAAATACTGAAATTTGTAAGTGAACGACCTTCATTATTGAGAAATTTTAATTATTCACGTTGTGTCATTTCAGGATATTTATACATACTCGTATGTTGACAAAGCAATGCATTTTGAGCTTATTAACATGTTGCATTTATTTATTATACAGAAATTTTAACCACAATAGTAAAAAATAAATACTAAGCTATTGCCCTATATTTCACTTTCTACTTTGTGGGTTTTTCTATAAAACTTGATTTCTCAAATAAAATGCTTTTATGAATTTATACTGTTGTTACCGTGTACTTTTTCTGCTTACTTCTTGTTAAAATTGAGCTTCAAAATCAAGGCAAAATTAAAAACATTATGTTTGCTAAAGTACTTGTTCTTCGTACGATTATGAAATACAGGGGTTAGAGTTTGTAAAATTTGATGATTTTGATTAAAGTGTGCTATCTAATCAGCAAAGTGATAAAGTAAGTGTTGGCTCACTAATCTTGAAAGTATTCATATTTCCCGTGAAACCGTAAGTCCAGTGTTCATTACATTTTTTTGACTAGCGGTAATAAATTTTAGTTTAACCTGAAATACACTAAGTAATTAATAAATTTCTAGATAAATTCTGTTATGAAGATATAAATTGTATCTACATGTACTTAAAAACAGTTAATTTTTTAAATAATTTATTAACTTCCAGTGAGTTTAATTACACGTTTATAAAAAAAATGTTACAAATGATATTGTCATGTGTGATGAAACGTGTATTGTATGCTAAATAAAATATGTAAAATATTTTCTATGCTAAATGTGATGCTATAGGAGTCTTTTTAAAAGAATTCTATATTTTAGAAGAATTCTATAAATGAGAAGGATTCACGCTGATTTTTATTTCGAAACAACTTCAATACTGAATTCTTTAACACTAAATTATATTTTTCTTCCATAGAGGAGTTAGTTTAATAAGCAGTAGAAAGCGGTATGTCTTGAATATATTTAATTTTCTTAAAAATTGTTTTAGCGACTGTCTGTTAGTTCAATTACATCATTTTATTCTTGCATTTAACCAGGTTATGCGAGTGGTAATTGTTTATCTAAATCGCCCGAAATAATTAATAAATTTAACACAATTACCTACAATTATTAATGAAAGGAATTATGCGATATTGTGATCTCAACTTTCCAGACGTATTCACAGTTTCTGAAATGACTGAATTTAATTGTTTTTTTTTTTTTTTTTTTTTTGAATAAAGCACATTAAAGCTCAAGTTTTGTTTAAGCTGTTGCTAAATGACTTCTCCGGATGTATGATCAGACGTGGAACCAATATTTGTCAGTCATTGTCGTTGTTACAAAAGAAGTTCAAATATGCATTAGCGCTTAAAATTTGATTATTTACCACATGTTGTTAAATCGGTGATCACAGCCGATCAGTTCTTGAGAGAGCTAGTTATACCCTGTTCACTTTCACATTCCACTGTAGCGACCAAATGTGGGTTAGAAGTCTTCAGCAGCAAGTGACAAGATATTTCCAAATGAAAATTTGCAATATCGGAAAATGAGATAACCAAAAAATCGTTCGGATTTAGTAAGAGCTAAAAGATGAAGAAATCTTAAATGGAATTTTGCAATTTGCAATGAAATATTTTTGCATAGGGAATGATCCCATGCTGAAGAGCTGTTTTTTAATCCGGCAATTTGGTAATAATGATTGTGTTGGGTGATTAATGGAATAGTTGTGGTGTTTAACAAGACCGAGGTCGGGTGGCGAGAACTCGTTCGTTGCAAAATCTTTAATTTTAGTTGATACGTGAAATATTGCAATATTTTCGTGTTGTGAAACCGCACCGGCGAGGCTGAAATGTCTTTATCGTCATTTGAGCTTCTGGACAAGAAAGTGATGAATAATGGAAGAGACAAAGGAACAATTATATTTACATAACAAACGGTGACAAGTGGATAAATTTTGGTCTGGGAATTTATGATTGAGTTCGCTTAGTTCAAGCAAATTCTTTTGATAATGTTTATTGCAAAACTGTAGGACCGTTTTCTGTGATTCCTACTTGTTATTGTTTTGTCATCTTTTGGTAAAATTTGGTAATTTTTAGACACATCCTCTCACGACTCCTATCATTAAATTATTATCACAGTCGGCTATCATGAATATTTAAAATACAGTTTTCTCGGGCATGAAAGGATGGTGAGCATGTAACAATTTCGTAACACTCACAAAAGGTTAAAGTTTCGTTGCAGCAGACATTGACTCGCATCCAAAGTTCATTAATCATTTTTCTCAGCAGATAGTATATATTGCTGTGAACTTTCAGCAAATTCGCTTGCAGTCGCAGGAAAATGAATTTTTTCGGGTGAATAAACTTCTAATTGCCGGTTACGCTTTCGTATTTCGCTGAGTATCTGGGGCGTTTTTTCTTCGCATCTTCAATTAGATGTTGTTAAATAGATTTTGACGGTTGGTTTCAGAATCAAAAACAATCACAGACTTTGGCGGCGACTGCGGCACAAAGTGTCGCTTCAGGATGTTGGCATCCTTGCAGCAGGCCGGAAGTTGCAGCCACAGCTCGCAGTTTCAGTACAATGAGAACGCAGCAACCTGGTTCCCTCCCTGAGTACCAAGTGGATCCCTATCACCTTTTAGAAGACGACCTCAAGGACGTTTACGTTTATATTCGAGACGTAAGTTTCTGTGTCATTGTTTATGGAATTGCATTAATTTTTCTCGCGATGATCAAGGATATTGCTTAATAGTGTTGAAACGTGCAAAAGGTGTGCTTCAAAGGTGCATATTAAACCATTCAAGGTGGATGATTATGAAGACTAATTGCTCGCGAGTACAAAGAATAGAAACTTGTCAAATGCATTTAATCAGATGAGTTCGTTTCGTTACGCACTGTTGAAGTCTCTGTTAATTCCAGGCTTTGCGAAGAAGCACTTACCAAGATGACCTCTACGAGATAGCTACATATTATTTCGATGGACATGGGAAAGCAATTAGACCAATGGTGGCTATCCTCATGGCTAGGGCGATAAATTATCACATATATAAAGAAAAAAGGTGAGTGCATTCTTGGGTCTTGATGACGCAATATTCTGGTTAAAATGCATCTTATGTGGCCCACATTTTTGTGTTTCTTTTTTTGCTTAGGCAATACGAAAGTATGCCGTTATTTATTTCTAAATGTTTCGGCATTGAGAATTGGTAGGACTGACTGATTAGTGGCAGTTGGGCAATATGTTGATGACTGTAAGGAGATATTTTGTAGACGAGTCGGCATTACTTTGTTGGGTCAAGCGGGTACAACGTACTCCAGAACCTCCTGCTTGGTACTACGTGACCTTGCTGCATCCTTCCTCGTAACTTGTTCAAGGTTGTTCGTTCATTCATCATTGATGCACGCGCTTTTACACCTACATTCACAGTGTAACGAGAATGATAATAACGTGGATCCTTTTAAATGAAACTACATATTTAAATCGGATATGCATACCACTGAATTTTTCGAAATAGATTAAATTAAACACCTATTAATTGTAGCTTCAAGGAGGGCACGTTTATTAATTAAATTCCTAACTGTTTACAACTACATATTTTTATGTCTACATTCTTTTGCTACATAAAAGTCTTTTAATGCATTTTACAACAAACACAAGCGAGGAGGGATATATTATTTAGGAGTAGATATTAATTGAAAAGCAACAGAAATGTGTTTCAAAATTTGATTTGTTTTCCAGAGTTTTTGATTAACATTAAAAGGAGATACACAGTTTTTTTGGATTTTTTGCTCTCCTTTGTACTTAATTGAACAAAGTGTGTTACTCAAAACAACAACAAGTCTATTTGTATGTTCATACGTTTCATACGTGCACTACAAAATAAAATTATTGTAATTAACTAATCGTTTTCTTTAATCATAATTTAATTACTGATGCGAGCATGCCCGAAGTATATCCTTGATTACTAATTATTATTCTTTAAAATATTATATGCAATTAGGTGCAATTGCGTAGGTACAAAAGACAAATTCAGATAATTACGTAAAATTGTTTAAGTCACTGTTTTTTTTGCTACTTTTCTGTATTTTTCCTAATAAGGAGTGACATATGTACGAAATTTACAGTTTTTATTTTTATAAATGTGGACATGGAATATAGTTGAACCTAGAGAACTATTCAGTAATTTTGATTTATGAATAATACTGAATATAATACTTACATTTTCCTGAAGTGTATTTTTTTTAATTTTTCTTAATCTTTTTTGTATCGTGGTCTATTTAAGAAGAAAATATTGTTATATACAGTGTGTTCCCGGATAAGTGAAACGACTCTTGTAAAAATAAAAAAAAATCATTAAAATATATTTTATATCTTGATTTAAATGTTCATTTTTTTGGGTTTCAGTTTTGCTTAGGTAAAGACTAATTTATAACATAATTTTAGTTTTGAAAAAGCAAGTATATCTTGGAAATTAAAAAAAAACACTTTTTTTCTATAGAGTAAAGTGCATTTTATGTGACAAATACGACAAAAAAATATTAAGAAAAGTTGTTTAGAATCAACATCTAGACCCGTTTACCAAATTTCAAAATTATCTGCTAATTTTTTATCTTTATTTCACAAATCAAAGAGTTTTATTTTTAACAGTTTTTTTATTATGAATTAAAAAAATTCACAAAATTTACAAAAAACGTAAATTATTGTAAAAATGAAATGTAAAAAATGAAAAAGAGGCGTTTCACCTATTTGGGGACACACTGCATATACTTTGGTTTTAATTAATTCTTAATTTTTTAGAGTTTGTAATTTGTTATAATATAATATTTGAAGAAGCTTAAAAATGAATTTTTGTGTAGAAATCGTGATATAGCGAGGATAAATCTATCATTGTTACTTTTCTTTTACGATATTGTTAATCGGTATAACATTGAACTTTTATAATTGTTTTTCTCAAACTTTTCAAACCTAAATTATTTTGCTAAATATTTATTTACAAACAATTGTTTTTCTTTTATGAAAATTATTAAATTTTATATTAAGTATTTGAGTTATATGACCACAAATCCCAGGTTTTTCCTCGAAAAACTACTTTTTGAAAACTGTTTTAAGTTTGTTAAGTATTCTTTAACAGAAATATAAGACATTTTTCTTAATGTTGTTTTAGTCATAAATGTTTACTTTACAATAGAATAAGTAGAACAAAGAAATACAAAAAAATATGCTACTTTCGATTTGACTACAGTTTGAAGGATTTTGATTCTGGTTTCTATAAAACCAGTACTCTGTACTCTTCATTCTACTAAATTTCAAAATTAGAATTAAGCATGATTTGCCAAAAATAAATTAAAAGTGAAAAAGCTCAGAAATATAGTTATTAAGATAACTGAGTTTTATAGAAATTTAAAAATCGAGGTCGTAGTTTAAATTGGAGCGACCGGAGGAAGCGAGAATTTAATAGGCTGAGATTTTTAAACTATAAAACTCGTGTTATCTTGTGTATTTTAACGGCATTAGTGTTTCAAAAATTATATTTTATCATATACTTACTCCTAGTTTTTAAGGTACGAGTATGTTATTTTCAAAAATAATGAAAAATATGTATAATGACACTAATAAACAACTCTTTTATTACGTATCTCACTTTCAGTTATTGTCGCATTTTTAACGATTTTCTTATCATTCTCCGTCTTTTAGATTTTTTCTTGTACTATAAATTGGAGCTTTAAGCTCCGAGCTTACAAGCTTTATAGTAATAAAGCTAAATTTATGCAACATGAAAATCTTGTTAAATACGTTTTTAGAAACTGGGTATTATTTACGTTTAGGAAGGTAAAAATGAAATTATTTGAAATGGTACATTTTTTAAATTTTCAGTGGTCTTTTGACGTCGCAAAGGGAAGTAGCGATGATTTCGGAAATGATCCACACAGCCTCTCTCGTCCACGACGACGTCATTGATCAGTCAGATTTCCGTCGTGGTAAACCCAGCGTCAACGTGATGTGGAATCATAAAAAGGTAAAATTGTCTGGGCTCAATGCCAAGGTAGCGTTGTTCGTTATGCAAGACACACATTTGCGGTTCAATTAGTAGTCGCAACGTAACGGATCTATTTGACGCAAATCCCTTGTTTTTGCAAGATGGTATCGTGCCACTGTGACAACATTCAAACAATACAAAAATTACAATTACAAAATTTATTCGAAATCTATCTAAAGCCTTATTAAATTGCACACGATGCATCTCGTTGATTTCGTTGTCGGCAAGAGCAGTCACACGTCGAATACGATTTAATTAAATTTAAACGTTCTTTGTTGGGAAATAGTGTCGTTAGTGGGTCAAATGTAATTCTAAAAAAACATGCAATTGAGTTCTCTAATTGAAATTGATAATTTACGACTGCTAATTGACATTGTTATGTTACGGAAGGTGCCAACAACGGAACGGTACAAATTATTGTTGTAATATGGCAACGACATAAATAATAATTATTAACTGAATAATAATAGACATAAAAGGCGACTTAAATTCGTGGAAATTTTTTATTGCGTGATGAAAATGAAAAATAATTGATACTTAATCGAATTAATTAAAGTTCTTTATAAAAATTACCAATTTTTTAAAATAAAGTAGACTGAAATATATATTTATAATATTTACAAATTCATAATTTGTAGGTACCTAAAAAATTAATAACGACTCATATTTTAAATTGTTATTGAATTTATCGATAGAGAGTGTTATGCAATAATAATTGTTATTATTGTTTTTTCTTTTTTATTTTTATGAATGGTTGTCTTACTGGGTGAACGTACTGTGTAGGAAAAATTATTAACTTGGTTTTAATATTTAATTATCTTGCATAATAGTAATTTATTTTCGGCTACAGATCCGGAACTAGGATTTTATTGCATAAGCGAGACATATTTGTGGTGAAAAAATATTTGGAGACTTTAAAAATTATGCACATTTGATTAAAAAACTGGCTAGTATCGACTGGTGTATATTCAATTATTCATTCTTTCGCTTTCTACGGCCAGCACAGTTTCCCAACGAACTTGAATGCCGACACGTTTTTGCTTTTACTCACTTGCATTTGTGGATGAACACTTCAATTAGTTATGTGTGTTAAACTAAATACGTCCACCTACTTTTAATAGCTAATTTAAACTGATTTGGGCACATGTTGCATGTGTATATTTTTTATTTTCGCTAGTTTCCTTATTGATCTTTATGTGTAATTGTAATGTTGTGAAAAACAAAAAGACAACCTCGTCCTTGTGTTAGCACTAACTCGAGCTTAATTACCAAAGGTGCAAGCTTTGCTTTTGTGCAATTTAGCCTTTATTTTTTTTTAATTCATAATTTATGGCAGTGTTTATTCGAATTTTTAAAATTACTAAGTTTATTCTGTAAATTATATTATTGTTAGACTTTGACGCTAATGAGTGTCATATTTAAGACGTAAATTGTAAATTTATTAGCTTTCCCCAACACTTTGGATTGATGCCACATAAGTCTTGGGTCCTTTTCTATTATAATTGCAAGTTTTCTCCTGGGAAGTCTCACTTGTTTTATGGCTTTCAGTAAAGCTTATTTGTTACGTAAATCGCACGTAATTGATCTGTTCAAAACAATAAGCAATAACGTCTGGATGGAGTAATTGTAACTTCCTGAAATTGTGTGAATACATCCGAAGTTTGTATTGTGTGTTTTTAATTTCTTCCGTTTTATTAAAATTGGTGATGATGACATTATTGAATAAAACATACTTTCACTGTTTATTCGTTATTTTACGAGTATTACAACCCTGAAATATTTTACGGTATGGTAATCGTAATGCACTTGCTCAATAGTCGACTTCTATTAATTTATGAATTTTTCTTTAGCAAATATTCATAACCTTAGAAATCACTGTCTTTTGTTTATGAATAAATATTGATTTTTCATTTCTAAAAAGTGAACAACTTAAATAAATCCTGTACACGAAACACTTAAAAATAATACTAAAATCAGAGAAGTTAGAGTCAAATTCAAAAATGAATCACAGTATTGTACTTACAAGTGCTATTTCTTCTAAAGCTGCTTTATTTTCAAGCAGTTGACTAGTACCAATTAATTATGGAACAATTTATACATTTGTAGACATGTGTATTCATTATGTAATACAATTCCTAGTTTTTACTTAGTCATTTTCTTTTTTTTCTCTTTGGTTATTTAGGAAAGTTACGTACAAACTGAGTTTCTTAGCATCATCGGTACCTCAGCTTAATGTTAAATTTTCAGATTATTTATTATTATTTATCGTCAAAATGAAAAAAAAAATGTTGTTTATGTAGCAAGGGAGTAAACAACTATTTCAATCTCGAGAGTGTAAATATTCATTCGAGGGATTAATAACGATGTTTATTCTAGAGATGCATCTTTATTTATTTTATTTCGGAGGGAATAAAGTACCAAATTATTAGTCAAAAACGAGGGAATAAAGCGTCACTTTATTTGTGGTGAGAGGAAATAATTATTAGGTATTGATCCATGTAAGCTTTACGGTGGATATTTTTTTAGTTACTATACTTATTCACACTCTTTGTTCAGTTAATTTTCTATTTTTATACTTACTTTATAGGATAGAATCTTGACATTTGGACTTTAATAATCTTCATAGCCTTGGTAATTATCTCCAATCCAAGGATTTCTAAGCTTGATCCTTGTCTTTAATAGTTTTAATTGGAAAGGGATACAGATTTTTTCCAGGTATAGGGAATACTAGAGAAATTTAAAAACAAATAATTTTGGTGGAAACAATCTGTATGCATATTGTGTGTTTATAAATGTGTTCTTTTTTTTTAATTTTAAAATCTCTAAAAAATTTTGAAAAATACTGAAAATTATGAGCAACTTATAAAAGGTACATTGAAAGTCTCGATTAGTTTTAATTAAAAGTAATATAAAAGATTTAAATCCAAAAGTAAAACTGAAACAAAATATCTATTATCCTGAAAGTAGTTTTCGCAAATATTTTAACAGAGTAATTAAGATTGAAATGATTAAAAATATTTTTGTTTTTTTGAGTTTGTTGGTCGTTACCTTGTGCAAAAGCTTATTTGAACATTTTCTAGGGTATTGACATCAACAAGTATGTAAGTACACTACTTGTGCGTAAGGTGTTTTATTTATAGCGTTCAGTTTTATTAAAGCACTCAGCTTTACTTCGTGCTTCAATATTAAAACTTTACCCAGTAAAATTGTACCTACCGCACTTATAATATAAATAACTATTATATGCGTATAAATAAATGCATTAAATGAATTCAAGAGTTTAAGTAAGAATTATGGTTATTACTTCTTTGTAATTATTGTTAAACTTGTAGTTTAACTATTGTGGTTAGATTTTTGAAGCCAGTTTGCTATGGTGGCACACTTACTTTGACATTGTCGACAGTGACAGTGACATCAAGAATTACACCAACATAATTTGAAAAACACCACGTAACAAGTTATGAAACTAATGTTAGGTGTATATTAGCGCTGCTTGTTAACAATTAATTTTTCAGATTTCATATTTTTTTGTAAAAAAAATTAAGTACTTACTGAAATTATACATAATAATTAAAATGAAAGTTAGAATGTTTAAAAAATCATTGTCTATTATGCTAGAAGCAATAAAAATTGAAAGTATTCTCGACATTTAATTTGACTATTTAATCTTTCGTCATAAAAAAATTGATATTTACGAAGTTATTTCTGAACTAGTTTGTTGAAATGAAAAAGTAATTCGTGTTGCACAATTTTTAACGTTAGTTTGCTGTGAAAGACCTTGATTTAGTGTGATCTTGACTGACACTTTTTCATTGTTTTCAACCCTGACTTCAGCATAGTGAGTTTTCTCACGGGATAATATGACATCATCTAAACTGCTCTTTTGCATGCACAACCTAGACTAGTGTTTGATGAACATATTAGATACGTTTTGATTTAATAATCGGTTGTTATATAACAGTTAGTTAAAGAAATTTAGTTGTTACCATTAGCAGGCAAGGGCAAGGTGTTCCGGCAGGAAAGTTCCGAACCAGGATATGATCCGATCATACTGACCGTTGTAATTAATCTGTGGTGATGTGATTACGTATCACCGCATATCTCTTGCGTAATAAAAGAGTTTATTTCCAGTGAAAGCGGTGTTAAGCTCGGAAGTTGCAGATTTTCCTAAAGAGATGAATTTTTCAGCATTTAGTGATAAAATGTGGGAATTTGGCAACGCAGTCTGTTTCGAAAGATAAACACCAACTTTTTCTTATTAACATCATATGACCTTTACGTCTTATTTAGCACGTGTTTCAGAAACAAAATACATTTTGAAGCTATTGACACCATTTTGATATGTAATTATTGGACGCTCTTTTCAGTATTAGTTGGCTAATTGTTGTCTAGTTTGCATATGAATTTTGTATGGTCAAGAAGAGATGCAACGGCGATTACATCAACGCAATTCGAAAGTGATCTCTTGATAGATCCGGTTTTTGAGTTCCGATATTTTCAGACACGAAATATGGAAACATATTTTTCAACTTTCACAGTGTTAGATAATGTTCTTGGCATTGATTGGTATGTGCAAAATTTCAAGTTTTTTTATGTGAACATTTAGTATAAATTGGCGATTTAATGAATGAAAATTTTTGGGAAAATCATCGTAATGATTTTGATTGGTCCAGACACTGACCTCTGTGGAATGCCGCCCAATTGGGAAGTATCACGATCGGAGAAAGTAAAGAACAAATCGCTGAAAATTACTATTCCTGTATTTATCAACAAGAATTTTAAATGCCACACAATCGTGCTGCGAATGCATGCTTATCACAATAAACTGTTTATTTATTTTTATTAAGAGTCCATGTAGACCATAGGCCCTAAATATGTTACTAATGTTTATTTATAACACAGATTATTCTTTTATACACAGGACCACGAAAATTCAGTTTAATATACTGAAACGATCATAAAAAGTGACAAATTTTTTATAGAAAAATTCCGCATATAACTACTGGATCCAATTATAATTTTCCGCTTTGTTCTTTGTTTTTTAAATAAAATATTATAATTTATAAATTTTTTAAATATTTTTGATGACAATTTTCTTAGCAAAACGCGTATGGTTTTTTTTAAAGAGTCGTAATTTCTAGATTATACCTAGTTTTTGACCAAAAAAATGTCATACCTAGTAGGTTACCATTAAAAAAATAAAAAAATAAAAACGTGTTTTTAAAGTTTGTACAAATATTTTAAAAAGTGATAGTAGAGGTTAAAAGAAGGCAAAATAACTCAACTTGGCTTATCCGAATGTTTATAGTTTTTGTTTTAGAGGGTTTTGTTCGTCGAATAAATTTAAATTTGGAGCGCAGCTTTAAACTTCACCAACTCAAATTGTAAACAAACATTATTTCGGAGGTTAGCCCTTCAAAATCTATTACATGGTTTTAAAAAAAGTTGAGTTAAAATTAGCAAAACCAGTCAGGAAAAAGTGTTAAAAAAAATCATAAAATCATTTTCTTGTAAGGTACTACCGAATTTTATTACCTCAAATGTTACCGACTACTAACAATGTAAACTTTGCTATAAATTACTAAAACGTTCAAACTTTGTTTATATTGTATTGTTTTGACGCCAAAGTGCAAGTTTGCAACCTGTCCCCGGATTGCGTTTACAAGAGAATTTTTTTTATCTTTGATTTTACTCCAAAACTGCAAAGGAAAAACATTTTTTGCTTCCCTGAAACGAGCAAATCTGTAATTAAAACTTCATTATTCTAATTCAGTGAAAAGAAATGTAAGTTTTCTCTTGATTTTGGACTTTTTCACATTGGTGGTTTTATTAGTTTGACAACTATATGTCACTTTGACAATTAATTCATCAATTGAATAATGATAGTTCTTGTTAAAAATGACTTTGTTTCTTGACTTAAAGTTGTTTCTTTGAGTTGCCATTTATTAAAATTATGTTTTTCACGAAGATTTTTGTTATTTAACTTGCGTAAACTCATTTGTCAAAGTGACATCATTATCAAAAAAATAAAACCGCCAATGTGATGGGATTTAAAAAGCAGAGAAAAATTATACATAGATATAATCTCCTTTGCAGTTTTGGTGTAAAATCAAAGATAAAAAAAAATTTCCTCTTGTAAACCTAATCCGGGGATATACTGTATATCACAAACAATAAATATTCGGATAAGACAAGTTTAAGTACTATTTTGATTTCTTTTGAGCTCTACTATCACCTGTTAAAATATTTGCACAAACTTTGAAATGTTTTTGGGAAAAAAGTCACAAAAAGTCCAAAAAAGGTTCATTTTAGGGATTATTTTTAAAAAAATCCGAAAAAACAATAATTTTGTAATGCGCATTTGTATTAGTTGCCTACGCATATTTTTGCGAAGTATTATTTTAATACTTTCTTTTCTTTCATAACATTTTATTAGTCTGATGCAAAATTCAAGGTTATCATTAACATTTTTTTTTGAGACTGCCGACCTTTTTCGTCGCTAAACTTTCTTTTGTGTAACAAATTACACACCCATCAATTTTTTTTTTTAAATGGTGGTTTCAGAAGAGCACATTTCCTTGCGTATTGCGAATGGAAAACGCAAAAATGAAATAAACGCGTCTTGCACAAGAGAAAGTAATGCAATTGTGAAAAGTGGAATTTTGCCTTAAATCACAATAAGCCGAAGCTTGTTTAAATGTCAAAATACAATGTTTGTGCTATTCAAATGAATATTTTCTTTCAGGTAACCATGGCTGGAGATTTCATCTTAGCGGTTGCTTCAATCATGATAGCTAGGTTAAAAAATAATGACGTCACTCTAGTTCTTAGTCAAGTAAGTAGAAATTAGTTAATTTCACTATCAAGAAAACACATTTAAACGCCTCAGGTTGTCTCCGACTTAGTTCAGGGAGAGTTCATGCAACTCGGATCTAAGGAAACGGAAAACGAACGATTTGCTCATTATCTAACCAAAACATACAGAAAAACCGCTTCTCTTATAGCCAACTCTGTAAAATCGGTAAGTGGTATTTGAGTCAATAATTCTTGAAATGCTAAGATGTTTTTCAAGGTGACAATGTTAGCCGGTGCTGATGAACAACTCTCTGATATTTCATATCAATATGGACGGAATTTAGGTTTAGCGTTTCAGTTAGTTGACGATCTTCTCGATTTTGTCTCAAGTTCAGCAGCTATGGGAAAACCTACAGCAGCCGATCTGAAACTCGGCCTGGCTACAGCTCCTGTGCTTTTTGCTTGCGAAAAAGTAGTAACTAAAATTGTGAAATTCCGATTCAATTATGTTATTTTTAGTTCCCTGAACTGAATCCGATGATTATGAGGCGATTCCAAGAGCCTGGGGATGTCGAAAGGGCTTTTGACCTCGTCCATAAATCTCGAGGCCTTGAACAGACACAATATTTGGCCAAACAACACTGTCAGGAGGCCGTGAGGCTTGCTAACCTTCTGGAGGAAAGTCCATATCAAAAAGGACTGATAGTTGCGGCTGATTATGTACTAAATCGTATGAAATAGTACACGAGGGTAGTACTTGTGTTGAGTAGGTGTTCTAGTTATGAAATTTATATTTATAGGTGACGTTAGCTGTATGATATTAATTGTATATTTTTGTATTTCCAGCTCGATATTTATAAACATCGGCATTTCAAGACCAGTGTCTTCTATGTTAGAAACTTTGTTATTATATAAATTAGAGTTTTTTGAATTAACTAGTTGTTAACTGTTGAGTGTTGAGTGCAGTGCTGTAAATGTATGAACCAAATATTGCATGAAAGTCACTAATGTTGTTATAACTATCCAGTCATGCTTAGGATAAGATTTTGATGATGGTATAACGCTTACATTTACTACCAGGATTTATTTTTATTTATTCAGCATACCTACACAGGGGTTATTTATTCTGTTTCATTAATAAAATGTTAAATAAAATAATTTGGTGTCTGTTTTAAACCGATAGTTGCTAGCTAAAAGTAGGTGCGCTCAATAGATTTGAATATGTTTCATGTATATAATTTTAAAAAGTATTAAAGATATTTATATTAAAAATGAAATATTCATTAAAAATATTATTACTTGTAATTTTGTTGATGAATCTGATGTATATAAGTTTTTTACAAATGTTATTATTCCATCGATTAATTGCAAGCAGTGTTTACACAAATGATGTATATAAGTAATCTTGTTACAATTATTATGTAAAATATGATATCTAATATGTATATTTTGATTTATTTACATGTAAAATTTATTAATAAAGTGAACAACTGGTGGGTTTGACATGATTTTTGTTGAGATTGCTATGCTAATAACTAAAATAAAATTAAAAATTATAAGATTACAACTTTTTATTTAATTTTTCAGAAACTAAAGTAATTGCTCTCGTTTTTACTAAGATATTTTGTTCTGTTGGTTGCATACAACATTTTATTTTCAGCGAGATAAAGGTATGGGTATACTAATAAATCATCATTTTATTCTAACGTTACAATTATAATAGTCCAACCACCGAAATAGCAAATTGGACACATGTAACTTCCGCTTGCAATTTGTACTAAGACAGCAGGTGACCCTTTTGTGCTGCTAATCCGTAGATAACTCGAAAGCTAAATTCTGTACGGCCCCCAACAGAGAGTGTAGATCAACTGATAAGGCCCAATAGTAAGTAAATTAAACACTCAATATTTTGATTCTGAAAAAAAATATTTTTTAAATAAATAAATAAACAAAAATAAGGTACAACAAAGAAATTTACCCTTAATAATCGTAAAATTCAGAAAGATACAGTGTGTCCCCGGACAGGTAAAGCGACTCAATTTAAAATTTACATTTTTTGGGGTTTAGCTTGGTTAAAGACTAACTTCTAACATAATTTTAGTTTTATAAAGTAAGTATGCTTTGGGGATTTAAAAAAATCTATTTTCAGTTTTATATGTGGCAAATACGACAAAAAGTTAATAAGAAAAGCTGTTAAGAATCAACATCTAGGCTTTTACACCAAATTTCAAAATCATCGGTCAACTAATATTTTCCATTTTTTCCCAAGATAGTTATGCTTTTTAGTAAACAATTATTTAGTATTTAGAAACAATCTAAGTATGAAATTATTTATTTGTAATAATGACTAAAGTTGTAAATCTTATACAACAATGGCAGCTTAGGACAAAAGATGATTAGTTTGCAGTATAATGCAGATTAGGGATTCCTCCGTTTAATGGTAATTGCAGGAGGTAAATATTTCGTTTTAAACTGAATTGTTGTAAAATTTACAACTTTAGTTAAAATTCATTATTTCGGTTGGACTGCCATAATATTAATTTAGTATAGTTTATCACGTAATAATTTCTCAAAATCTCAAATTTGTAAAAGTTTGCAAACTTGCGCACGCTTGTGTATATTTGATTGCGTGTTTACTGATTTACGCGCATTTTTTTGTATTTTTAAACATTTAAAATTGCATAATCTTTCTCTTACATACGTTTATGGCTTCTATTGTATATTTCTATAATTTAAATTAAATGTGCTTCAGAAAACTTAATTTATTTTTATCTTTTACAACATGTCACACGAGTAATAATGGCCAGAAAAATGTTTTCAAGCAACAAACATTACATTTCAAAGATAAAGTGGGTATTAAAATACAGGGTGTAACGAAAACATGGAGAGTAACCTGAGATTGTTTGTTTGGTATAACTCTGTTTTCGGCGCAAAAGCTAACGGAGCAACAAAGTTCCTACTCCATGGTTTATTGCTATTTCTGTTTGTGGAATGAACTATTCTATATACTTGAATTTTTGTAATACCGAGGTTCCACTGTACTTTATTTTAATTTATATTTGTGTTTGCTTTTTATTTCTTTTTTCATCTGTTTATTTAACTATTAATAAATATCATCTAAAAACTGCAATTTCTTTTTATTTCTCTGATGACAAAAATATTTAATATTTGAGTCTCTTCGTTACTCATCGTCCGCTCAGAAAATACTTTTTCTGAAGCTCTAAAATAACCACAAAAAATTCTACAACCCATAATTTATAATAATAGAACACCTAATTAAAAACCCCGTAACATTTGAAAAAGTAGATGAAAAACTTAAAAAGCTTTTACAAAATGTTAAACATGTTAATTTGCAAAAAAAAATATTTTAGGTTTTGCGTACAAAAATAATTTACGTTGTGTTCATGATAAAAATCTCTTATACCTCCGGATAACTTTTGTAGCCATAAAAGGAATAGATAATTTAAATTTTGTTTTATCCATTAAGCGCTTCGTGCTCTATCAAGTCCCAAATCTAAAGAGAAAAAATAGATTTCTACGGTATATATCATGCAATAAATATCTTCGGTTTACCTGTCATATCTAATTCAAGAGTAATTTATTGCAAACTATTTTTACTAAGTTAGTCGATTAGAATGCTTGTCCTCACGAACTGTTCCAATATTTGAACGACTGTCTAAAAGGGGTTGGGTGTTGAGATTCCACCACAAGGGTAGGAATCGGTGCCCGTCACGAATAGATCGTATTCTACATTTCATCTTCTCCAACCTCAATTTCTTTGTTGCTTTCATTAACAATTTTGCGACGATAGAGTTCACTGATTTCACGCTTTATTCAAGAAAATTCTAAAGCATGTTAGTAAATGAGAAGAAATTGAGCGGGAAGGCTCTAGGTGAGCGAATATACAAAGAAGGTATCGAATTATGGAAAAGGCAAAAAGAATTCGCAAGATTAAAGAAACTCAAGGAGCAACAAGAGGTAATTTCAATCCAAAACCATTCGATATTTTGCAAAATGGTGTTTTTAGATACGAGAAATGATGGAAAAATATTACCCATTTGGTCATGGCACCGACATGAAACCAAGGGGTTTGCGGAATTTACGATTGGAGGGTTTATTTCCTAACAAAGATTTCTTGAACGTAGGTTGCGTTCAAAGCATTTCGTATTGATTGTGATAATTGTGTGATTAAGGCTAAACGATTCGCGGGTACTTTTGATCTGGGTCGACCGGGAGGGGGAGCTCCTATAGTTTCCCATGGTAAGAAAATCACAAGGACGCATGAGGATCCTTTTTTACGTTTCCAATTTGGAAGTGACGGCGACCTCAGACGATGGGTGGACAACACTCTGAGGTATAAAACGAACAAAAAGGCTCAAGAGGAGTACAGAAGAGAACTAGGTCAGATGTTAGATGTTTTATAGCACTCATAAAAAATTAAAAGCGAAATAATTTTTCCTCAATAATTAAAATCTTATCTGTAATTATCTCTGTAGGCGCACATAATACATGCTGATTATGTTCAAAAGAATAACTAATTTGCGGTTCCTTTACGTTGTTTTGAAGTTTGCTCTACAGTTCTTTACGCAACTTTTTTGCCAAAGGGTAGAAAATGTACACCTACGATGTTATGGTTCTAAATTGCTTTGCTTTAATAAGACAGAACGTGACTGAAAAAATTCGAATCGCGTTGAGAAATGCTTTCGCTTAATAAATTTCAGAATCCTGATATTAAATACAGTTATTATCTAAATAAGTACATAAAAATAGAATTTAAAAAAACAAATATTATTTTACGAAACTAAGATTTTTATTAGTCAACAAATAATATGTATTTTTATCTGTTTCCACTTTTGTTTTATAAATCGAAAGGTTATTGGATATTAAATAAACTATGTACATGTTATTGATTTTCAGGTCAATATTATGCGCACACAATTCTTAAATTAGACTTAATAACTTTGCTAAATACGTATTTTCATTATTTAAGAAAAGTAAAACAGCTAAAATCAAAAAATTAAATTTCTTGTACATTCAAGTATACAGGGTGTATCAGAATTCGTACTCTAGAGAAAAAAATCAAGTAGTATAAGATATCAGAAACATGGAAAAAATGTTTAAAAAATTCTATCTGTCAAAAAATGTTGACTTAATTCTTTCTCGAAGTTAATTATATTTCTTTAAATATTGCGAACTGAATTTGACTTCTAAGTTTTTATTTCAATATTATTGCTTTTTTTGTCAACTTTTCAGTAATCTTGAGACTAGAGATCACTTCTATAAATACAAAAAAAAAGCGTTTTTGTAGTATAAATTAGCTGTTATGCTTTCGCAGTAACAGTAAAGGTTTTTTATCAACGTTTATGAATAATCCTGACCCTTTTATCTCATAATCTCAATTCTAAAGTAGTTGACATCGTTAGGTACTCAAGATCTTGAGTTTATTGTTAGGAAATGTCCTGACTTTCATGTCAAGTAATTTTTTTTCATATTTTTCTCTTTCTAACTGAATAAATCTCTGAAAATCTTGAATTTAAGATTGTATTTTGTGTATTCAGCTTCTACAGAAATGTGCAGAAAGGATTAAATTATTTTTAATTTCTTATCACACATTTTCAATTTGTTAGAAATTTTCAATTTTTTGTTAACGAAAACCTTGACTTACGAGTATAGTATTTCAAGATTTATTAAGCTTATAAAAAAATTTTACGAAATTTTCTCAAACGATGAGGTACTTTTTTTAACAAAAATTTTGTTTTTTTAAGTTAATTTCTTTCTTATTTTTTTCATAATTATCTTCAATTACTAAACTTTTTCTCAGTTTTAATCCCTTTAAACTTAATTTAATTTTTAAATTGTTGATGTTATGAATTCTTGTTTTATAGAACAAATATGTTAAAGAAAATATTCTTTTCTGTATTTTTGTTGAGTGTGACATTGCTACGTAGATTTTTATGGTTTGAATCTTGCTAAATCGAAAATATTGCTTAATTTTAATATACTGATACTATTGTAAATTATAATATCATTAAGTAACATCATTGCGGGGGATGTTAGTCATTTGACCTTACGGCGATTTTAAATATTTGCAGTGACAAATGTAATAAAATTTATTGCATTCTCAATTTCTGTTAGGTAATAATTTTTAATTTTCTGTTTATTTAAATTTAATGTCAATATGGGCATGGAGTAGGTAATAAAACGAGTGTTTTTTCTCATTAATTTATTATGTTTAAATAAAAATCTGTACAATAAGAGTCGTATAATAATAATCATTCCACACTTTTGCTAATGATTAAATTCAACACCTGTGCAATCTTAAATCTATTTGTTTGAAAGAAAGTGACATTATCGAAATTTCACGCATGTACATTACGCACTGAACACGTCTTTAAAGAATTTAAATAAGCCACATCCTTCTTCTAGAGAAAGCTAATCTCATAAGAAATGTACACAAGGCGAAGCAGCAATTTTCTTCCATTATTACATCCATGATTTTCATTTATTTCAGGCTAAATTTCTTGCTTGATGATTGACAGAAAATGGATGGAAAATTAACTTCAATTAACTTGTTACATAATAAGCTGAATTTTGTACTTCTCATTTCACCGGAATTAATTTAACGACTTAATTATATACCCACTCTAAATTCCGTTTATGTTTGTCTTGAACTGATTTTTCTTAGTGCATAATAATTAATACTAATAAAAGAACTTTTGCATTCATTTTAAAGATCTCTTTCTCAGAATCACATCTTTTCATCTTCTCTTCACATGTGATAAATAAAAATCGCGTGATTGACGCAATGACAAGTTTCATAAGCTTACATGGATTTATTGGTGTTAGCATCTACTAATTTTAATGATACGGCTTTGTTCAAACGTCGCTTTACACCAACAACAAAGATTAATTATTGACTTGTGACAGACGAAATCATTTATGGTGTTAATGCCAGATAAACTTTCTCATTTTTATTTATTATTTACAAAATCTTGCTTAAACACAAAAATTATCATATTCTTATATTGTTTTTTATGCGTTTAAAGACAAACTGGTCGAAGAAAAGCGGGAAATTAAGGAAAAACGCAGAATCGAAGACGAAGAAAGCATCCAAAAACAGGTACGTTATCTAAGGACCCGAGAGTGATTTTTGATAATTTTTCAAGTTTTTGAAAACACCGCCCTGGGGCAAGCAAGGACCAGGTGGTTTCGCTTGGAGAAAACCGAGCTCAATTGGACACAATTTTTTCAAATCTTTGGTAAGCTACACACAAAATCATGTGTAGCTTGCTGATATTAAAATATTTTTATTAGATGTAGCAATTTATGATTAATTTTCGAATAGTTTTCAAAACATTTTTCAAATTTCAGGGATGGTCGACTGAAAACACTTTAAAACAATTGGAGGCTGAAGGGAATGTTAAATCAACTGATAAAAATAATAATGGAAAAAAATCTAATCTTAATAAAGCAAAAAAATACGATCCTGTTTTCTACCCTTGTAAAAATGTGTACACTGGTTCAAAGAACAGAAAACTCTCTCCCTTACTTGAAGGTAAGGAAAATGGAATTGAGTTGGTGCCTCTTTTGGCCAAACAAAGACGATTTCCTTTGAAAGTTCCCCTCGATTCAACAGATGTAACCAATCAGAAAAAAAATTAGTAAGTTTTAATTATAATCATTTGGGGTTTTATTTGTGAACATTTTAGTCTATCATCGCTTTGGCATCGAGAAGGCTCTGCGTATTTGCGTGACTTAACACAGCAAATAACCGATAAGCAAAACAAACAAAAGGTAGGTTTCATTGAAATGAAACATTGCAAAGACTAATTTATTTGCTGATTGTTTAATTATCATAATTTAGGAAATGAAAGCTGAAGACGATGAAACTTATCGACATCATTTTGACACGTGGAATGGATTCTGGGGAAGGCCAGGACATGGTGCCCCCAAGTCAACGGTCAAGAAACAGAGACTGGATCGACTGCTTTATCCTCAAATGGTTCCCATCAGTGTGCACTAACAAGGTATAACACTTAAAAACGAAATTTTGTAAATTAGAGTCATCAATCTTGGAGAATTGTGTAGTAATGGCTTCGAGATATTTCTTTCAAGCATCTAAAAGTAACCTTGATAAAAGTTCATTTGATTTAGTCAAGAAATGAATGCTACATTTTGTGTAATTGTGTGAGACCCTACCAGAATTAAAACAATAGTAACTTTTTGATTTTTGATATTTTTCATGGTTGCAAAACGTACTTACATATACAGAGAGTAGTACATCAAGCATTTGTGTGACAGGTTATAATGAGTAGCTCAGTCAACAATTCGTTGATGATGAGATGTGACAAGACAAAACGTGAGGTCAAAAGCTAGGAGAGAATCTTATTCTACGGAGCAGTGAAACTGTCAAGTTTATTATTTTTTCAACAGATGATTTAATTAATGGTTTAAGAAATTAAATTAGAAAAAAATAATAATTTGCGATTACTATAGGTGTCAAAAGTATTAATTTTGAAACGATGCGCAACATATAATGTAACCAATTTTGTTAGAACTGAATTAATAATTAGCTACGAACCTTTTTTTCAATTGAGCTCAAATTTCAAAAATAGTTTGTTTAATAATGTCAATTTTGATAAAAAAGGAAGTTTTATTGATTTTTGTGTAAATATAAAAAATGTTGTATTAAGTACTTTTACTCGTAAACCATATGTGTTAAGACAATCCTGACATTTGATCTAATATCTTGCCTTTGAATGGCAAGAATAAAATTCTTTAAAGAGTTGTTATGCAATTACAAACCTAATGTAGAAAGGAAGTGAAGTTGTGACGATAGGAAAACATTTTTTCTCCTTATTAGTGACAAAGAAATTTGATTGAAAGCTTAGAAACTACTTATTGTTTCAAGTATTTCATTCTACAAATAAGTGGATTAAAATTTTTATAGAAACAATAGGTAGGCGAATTTAAAAGTAGATTAATAACTATTCATATTCATTCATAAATCATTTTTGGATTTAGCAACCTTATAGAGGGAACACAATAATATATATTATCTTGAGGTACAATCAGATTTTGCCAACCTCCTGCCATTAAATTATAATGTTATAACAATAAATAACCTAAAAAAACAAATAAGAGATTTTGAATGTAATTAACATTTCAAGTGAATGTTTTTGTTGTTTAATCACCGAGGGCTGTTCTCACGGGCGCCACTATGTTGTTAATTAAAATCGGAAAACAATCCCATTTAAAGACTAAGTGTCATCGAGAAAAAAAAATTAGACCTTGTAGATGTTTCTAGCACTGAGAATGATTCTTTACGACCTTATGAATTCAAAAACGCTTTAATAATTTTTGTTTTGATATAATTTTGATATAAGTGATAATTAAAGCAAATTTATTTACACCGACATTGTGTAGGTCGAGATAAATATCAAACATTTCACGATTTTGCCTGATAACTTTCTACGTTTGAAATCAAGTAAAAAAATTACGATTTAGCAAAGTTAAAGATTTATTTCTGTCTATCGTGTGTAAGAATACAAAGAAAGCAAAATGATTTTTTAATAGAAATAAAATAAGTGGGAAACTCTGTTTAATTTCGCATTGTTCTGGTTCGAAAATACTTAAACTATAAGATTATACTTTCGATAGTGTGAAACTCTTATTTAAACCACTAAAATACCTAAAATACATGACGAATTTTCACTAAACACTTTGTAACCTTATTATCGAAAAAGCAAAAATTATATAAGTCGTTAATCAACACAAAATCGCTTTCTTATCGTAGAAAAATCGCGACATTTCGTGCTTTGCAGACAGGTAGGTGTGCCCATCACACTTTTAAAAAATAATAAGGGGGTCAATCACAAAGATGCGTATACCCCGGTAAAGCTGATCTTCACTAGTGAAATCACACTGCATATCACTTCTTCTTCAGTCTTTAACCAACAGTGTTGGTGGGTGCTCAACAGTGTCTTCCTTGGATCATTCCTTTTCACTTCACTGCAATGCGTTGGGTAATTATTTCTCTGTCATTAACACTAGTGTTTGAAGTGCCAATTATGAACTGTTATTATTGAGTTTTTAATTAAGTCTCTAGAGACACTGTGTTTATTTTTCTCTAATCAAACGGGAAATTTTAATGGAAAACTTGAGCAAACAGAGGAAACGTAATGTTTTTTCGGTTGCTGATTAATTTTTATGCACACAGAATTCAGCCAGCTTCACGTATCGTAAATTAATTTGATCAGTTTACTTCCTACAGAGCCCAAGAATCGTGATCTTTTCAATTGAAAACCATAATTAAGAAAATTGGGAGGGGCTTGTTATGGTCATGCGAGATAATAATTTTACCAAATAAATAAAATTTAAAATCTTAGAAATGTGCTTGCTATTGTAGTCAATGATGAGTATTTGCTCCAAGTGAGTGAAAGCACTTATTTTATTATTATTATTAAATAGAGATTTTATTCACATTTTCCATTTCTCATGAACGGTGCTTAATTAACCCACTATGCAGGACGAAAACTGCTAAAAGTACAACGCTTTTAAGAAATGTGGTACGTTGGTGCATTGCATTGTCTTGTCAGTCAGTGACACGAATAATAACTTTGGTGGTAATTAAAGGGTGTTGCAAGAACTTGCAAATGGGTTAAACGTATGATTTTATCTTAAAGTTTTAAAGACAAATTTCTTTTGTGTAAAACCAAAATATTATTGCTAAATTTTTAAAGCATTGTTTCACAAATTCGATAATCGTGCCAAAGTGCTGTTTATGGATATCATTGCCTAATGCAGCAACTATTGTCTCTTCCAGATCGAAAGTCTATAAAGCTTTGAAACAATAAGCTATGGGATAAATATTTACAAAATGTGATTGCGTGACATTTAGAAAAAAGCACTTGTGTCTAGTTTGGTACCGGCGGTACCCAATTTGTTCGAAGATGAGTTCTGGGAGAAAGTGACGGATATACATTTAAATGCATTTCTTTAGTTTCTCTCTACACATGTCATTTAAGGTCAATTTTCAAGGTGTACACCTTGTGAACCATCATTTTCGCAATTTGCTAATAATTCACCATCTTCGGTTATTAAAGCAATGGGTTGAGAATTTCTACTTTATAGATAATACCAAAAGAAGTTTTCCCAAGTTCCAGCTGCGTAAATTTAAATTCTAAAAGAATATTTAAACAAAGAATCTAAGATACCATCATGCAAATTAGCTGCATACTACAGCTACAACATTTTTCAGTTTCGAAATCTCACAACAGTGGTCAAGATAAAAACACATTTTTTTTTCTCTAGGACGTTCTGTATTTCGGGTTAAAAATAAACTTCTACTATTTAAATAAATCTAAGTAAAGAGCGAGAGTTCACGTAGAGGTCAGACGTGTACCGAATGAGAGTGAAAAGAAATAAATACGTGAGGCAGCTTTCGGAGCAGATTGTTAGAATTTGTGATTTTCACTACTTTCCCGATACACCTGCTTATAAATATTCATTAATTATTTGACATAAATCACGAATATTGCTTCCAGATGGGCTACTGTGAATACTGGTGTATTGTTGTGGAAAAATTAAAGCGTTTAATAATCCTTAGAAATGTGTTATCAATTTTAGTAGAAATTGAGGCCATTTATGATGTAATTTAGTTTCAACAACGACAAAATATTAAAGTTACGTGATTTAAACAACCATACATCAACCCGTGATGATCAAGCTACACGTTATGCATTAGTTACGTTTGGTTTGGTTTCCTTATTGTTGCACATTGACAATTACAGGAAAAGTATTAAAGCCAATATACACCCAAATTTAATTTAAAATAAATAAAAAATGGAAGACTAGGGCGTGACAATTTTCATGAAAATTAAAATTTTTCTTGTTCTTTTTACCTTGTTTTTATTTTGATTATTATTATTATTTATTGAGAATTTTAGATTGACTTGAACCTGAAACATTGTTTTTCATGCTCTCAAACAGTAGAAAGTTTAATGGCTAAATTTAAACATCTGCAAAATTATTTATGTCGATCAAAAGCTTCTGCTTTTAATATAAAGTATCTTATGACCTCAGATGTTACAAGAATTTTAATTGAATCGTAATTGAATTGCATAGAAATCGACGCCACGTGTAATGTCTAATCACTTCCATAAGATGTGCTTTCAACTTATTAATCTTAACTTAGTTGACAATTTATTTTATACAAAACTTTCTATTATTTAAATTCAACGTGGGGGATTTTATAGTATTTAATTCAGCTAGGCCATCGAAAGTTATTACTCATTTCATTACTCAATCAATGAATATTTCTTTTTTATAGATCAATGTCCTAAGGTCAGTGCTAACGAATTCAATTGATGACATTTGTAGAAATTTCTATTTCGTCAACAATTTTCTTTATTTTGACTTATTGAAATTTTCACAACTCAAATAATTCAGTGATGAACAGGATGTGTGTTCAGGATACCGCTTTCTAAGAGGAACGAAAAAGTTACAACAATTAAAAACTGTTTGTTGAACTTTGAACTTCTCTATAGTTTGGTAATAGCGAGATGTAATGTAGGCTTATTTATGGCTAGAAAACTCGTTCGTAACTTTTTCCCCGTAAGAAAAAGTTGTTAATTACACAAGTTTCGGATATCGTTTAAAACAAGACAACACAATAATATTAAAAGCACCTCCTTCTTAAATTTATTAGCATGAAGCATGACTATAATTAGTACTGTGTGATTAAAAAATAACCCAGTTTATTATGCCATGAATAATGTTCAACGCTTTATTCTATAAATTAGACATGCACTACATTATTATTTAAATAAGAGCTATTATTAAAGCGTGAGAAAGATTTTAGCAGCTGATAATTGTTAAAATTGCTTCTAACGTATAACACTTCTTAATTAAATCTTGAAAATGAAATTTTTAAAGAATCAAATTGAGAACAAGTTTTAAGCTTTTACTTTCTTTACTAACACTGAGTTGGTACTACTGTATATTTTTTGTTTCCAATTAGATATCCTCTCCCAAAATAATATAACATGAAAGAATATTTAAAATGAACATTTCTCCTGATAAGTCTAATTGCTTTCATGTTAGATTGAAATTTTTTAAAGAATAAAAAATATACAGAAACTGTTAAAAAAAGAGATGCAAAATTTAGTGCAAATGTGATCAGCTTTTTAAGTGATGTAATTGTGACAAAAACATGTGTTTTTTGTGACATTCTATAAGATAATCTGTAGATGCTGATGACAAACAAAACACATAAAAATTATTTACTTCTGTAGAACTATTCTGATTTAACATTTTGTTTGTTTTATTATTAAAAGTGTTAAAAGGAAACTCGATTAACTTTTTTTTGTATCAAAACTTAACAATAAAAAGTTTACTAAGAAAGTTTGTATTCAGGTGGTGTTTCAGTTCCAATTAAGGAAGAGAGAAAGAGATTATTAATATACCTTGCACAGCAAATTTGAAAATAGCGTCATTAATTGAAGTATAAAATAAGTAGAGTTTGCTATTGTTATAACTTTATTTAAAATTTATGCAAGTTTGAAATTAAACATCCTACTTAATTAAGTATTTCATCTTGAAGCATATTAAGGAGTACAGCCGATTTTTCTAGTTGGTTAAAAATGAAAGCGTCGTTATGTCTGCAATTAATTCTCATCTTTCACGTTTTTGCGCAACAGGATGACTTATTACAGATAATAATTTAAACAGGAATGTTTTTCAAAGTATCGAATTTGTTTTAAACGTCACTAGTGAAGAGTACAAATAATACGCTGATGAAACTCGCATATATTAGTGTTTGTTGTGGAACTTTCTTCGATTTCATTACCATCAACAATACAAAGCTGCTGGAGGCGATGCGACCCTGAGAGTCACGACCTCTACGTTTCCAACATATCTTCGTTGAAACTCGCAGAAACTTCTTAATTACACCTCGCGGGACCGCCCATCTTGTTCATGTTCGTAATGTGTCAATTAGACATTAACATGACGATGACACTTCTTCATCGGACATCCGGATGTGGGTCAATGGGGCCCTCGGGCGTTGTTATGCAGTAGCGACGTACGTTATGGGGATTTTAGTATCGCTTTCACTTGAATCGGAAACTCTCTTCGACCTCAGACAAACGGAATCTTTGGTTTTTATTGACACGGCGAAATTTCCCTATTTTGAGACAGAATTGTTTAAAATTTTAACTCAAACACTAATAACGTGACTTGATGAAACTCGTAAATCTTGATATTTTGTTAGTTCCAAGTGCAAACTTTCTCACATTGTTGCGAACTTTCTTTAATGTACAATTCTTGTCGCGATTTTCCTAATTTCCGTTTTCTCTTGTTTCAGGCACATTTCTGTGTTTTCGTCTTGGCCACAACGTTTGCCAAAGAGGAAGAAATAAACGAAGTGAACCCACCTCGTAAACTAACAGCAAATCTGGACGCAAATCTTCGGAGAGCACTTCTCAAAGCTTTAACCGAATTAGAAAACGAAGAAAATGAAAAAAAGCAGCAAACACTACATTCTTTGCCCCACATAGACACTAGTGATAAAATAGTGGAAAAGGCTTCCGCTTCTGCACTTTCGTTTTTTGCAAGTACTGAGTCTTCAATTACCGAAAAAACCACCACCACTGAAGCAGCAACAGCGAAACCGATTGTAGTCATCCAAAAAAGCCACGGTTTGCAACACAAACCCATCACAACATTAGAAAAATACACTTCCGAGACAGTGAACGAGCATGAACAAATTCTCACAAGTGCTAGTAGTAGTTTTACGTCATCGTCGAACAAATTTTCTTTTGCTAAAACGGAAAAACCAAATATAAATTTAGTCTCAAATGATGCTAAAGCTACAACCAAATTTGTAAAACCAAAAGTTGAGGTTACAACAGTGACCACGACCACGGAAGAAAGTCAAGCAAAAGTTGAAGATGTACAATTCTTTTCCGCTCCTCTAGTCGCGGCTTTTACAGTTCATCAAGACGAACGAGGATTGCCTAAAAGTGTTGAACCGATTTTTCGTCCCAAGATTGAGCAGAAAGTGAAACCAAAACAAGAAACGTTAAATCCGCAACAAGATCAACTCCGGACCCAGTTGGCACTACAAGAGAAACAAAAGGCTTTAGAAGCGGAAATTTTAAGACTGAGACAACAACAACAACAACAGAATTATCTAATAAGACAACAACAAATTCTCCATCAGCAACAATTGCAACTGCAGAAACAGAAGATTTTAGATGAACGGACTCGGATTCTCAACAATCAGCAGTCGTTCGTTCCTTTAGTGACAACTACACAAAGGAATGAGTTTAACACTCGAGGTAGCTTAGTGTCTTTTCAACCCAGTATAAGTTTTACTTCGCATCAACACCCAACCGGAGTTTTGCCCCTCAACGCGCAACAACTTCCACTTAAAAACGCTGCCAACTTTCGCGCACCTTTTATTCCCAACGAAAATCTACAACAGTTTAATTATTTGAGCCATCAGCGACCCCCTTTGGAGAGCAGCGTTTCCCAATTTAATTTTCAACCGACCGTTCAACCGCAGTTGAGCCTTACAGTACCCAAACATCATCGAGTTTTTAGACAAGAAGCTAACACTGGAAACTTTTTTAATTCTGGTTTTAATAATTTTAATCAGGCGTTACCACAACAAAATAGGTTTTTTAGGTCGAACTTGCAGTCTATTACTTCCCCACAGTACAATTTTAATCGAATTCAACCTCCTATTGTAAACCAACAATTAAACCACTTACTATATAATTCGGGATTAATTAGGGGGAAGCAACAAGAGGATTTGAATATTGTTTCAAAAGTTCTTGCTTTAAATCACTACGGAGGTGATTATAGATTTGACAGTTCTAATGTTAGCGAACAAAGGGTTCCCCCACCAGTCATTAAGAAAGTTTGAAAGTTTGCTAAAGCAGTGTTGATGATAATATTTATTTTATGGAATTTAATAGTCATACAGCAGTGTCAAGAGTTGTACCTTTAATCGGTATAGTACAAGTTAATGTTAAGTTATTGATGTAAATAATTTTATTGCTACCTACGAAACACATACGACTGATTTCAACAATAAATAGTTTCAGTTCCATAGCTGCCGATTCTGCTATTAGCTGTTTAGTGTGGTTATTATATTTATAACGTTTTTTTTTTGAAGTAATTTATGTTAACTATGAATGAACTAATAAACCATACCTATATGTACGTTTTGATTTAATAACTGATTTTTACCTTCATACGAAAAATTGATAATTTCAATTTTCAGAAGATGAAAATCTTTTGGGATTATTTTGCAATAGTATACTTGCACACACAGTAATAATTCCAAAAATTATTAAATAGAAATAAGTTTTACTCTAGACGTCTATGGCAAATATTTATAAATATTTATCATAATAAACAATATGAATAAAAAAATCGAAACATACAGGCTGTTTCGGCTAAACCCCAAATTAGAACAAGTTGCCATGGGTGAATGTACGATTGTGATAGGTGTTACTAATACAGGCTGTTCTGGCTAAACCCCTCATTTGAAGTATTAAGAGTTCTAACAATGACATTTATCTAAAATTTTGTTTATAACCATAATCGCTTAAATTCTGCTCAAAGAAAATGTTTTTAAGATGGCGGCACTTCTGGTTACACCGGAAGTGGGTATCAACTTCGTTAGATAGAAAACTATATTTTTTATTGTGTTTTTGGATTACTCAGGTGATTTTGAGGGAGTTTTTATTAGCCTTTCCTATACCTTTAAGTTTAACCGTTTCCGAAATTTTTAACTTTTTAAATTTAATTTTGATTTCCACCTCCCTATTCAAAAATCGATAGTAAATACAATTTTTTGTTATTTTGAAATCTTATTTGAACATATGAAATAGAAAGCTTAGACCTTTTTTTTTTGGTGTATTCATAATTGGAAAAATAATTGACAAACTCCCAAAATTTAAAGTTACGTTTGGAAAACCTCAAATATACCCTTAATTATCTTTTTTCGAATAAAGGCCCTAATTTTTCCTTTACTAAATGAAGGAAAATATGATTCTGCATCGATCTGTAATCAACATTTCCTATACTAAAGTTTAATGATTTCTTATCTTGACTTTTTTACAATGGAAGAAATTGATTACTCTACATAAAGTTTGTTTTTTTTTTTAAATGGAAATTACCAAGTCAAAATTTTGGTGAAAAAATTGGTAGCAGCTTGTCTCCATAGCCACAAATTTTGTTTGCTCTTTGTTTATGTCCCTAGAAATTTTGTTAAAAAATTATGGTTATGTTTTCAAATTCAGATGTTGTCAAAATTGTGACTTTTATGAATCTTGTGTGCCTGTTTGCTCTTTGAAAGCACTATAATTGAACACCTGAGGATAGACATCATTACCTAAGGTCTAAAGACAGAATTCAGTGCTGATAACTTTGATAGAAACACACCGCAAATAAGTACAATTTTGTGGACAAAAATGAGGTTCTTGCTACAGAAAAAGGATTATTTAGCAAAAGATACAAGTAGGTATTATGATGATTCGCAATAAATTTTGTGTAATTTATTGAAATGAGCTCAAAGTCGATGCAGTTTATAAATTCTTCTTCAGCTTTAGTTTCAAAATTGTTACTTTTTCAACTCGTACCTCAAAAACGATGCACAATACACTAATTTAATTGCGTTCTTTCCGAGGTTCTTTCTCATTCATGTTTATTTTGTATTCTTGTCAATTTTTACTAAAAATTTAGAATGTTTAGCAAACCTGCATTACAAATTGCGTCTACATTTTAACGGGTCCTTCTAACTTCCTGCTTGCGAACTATTCGTTTCTAAATTTCGAAAAACTGTTAGCGGTACCGAATTTGTCCCTTTTTTGGTGTTTCGTCCCTAAATTTTCTTAGACGATTTTTTGTGTTGACGTTTAATGACATTGTTTTCAAATTAATTCAAAAAACCAGAACTACTAACTTCTTTTATTAAAATTACCAGGAATGAATTTACTAGTGGTGCCAACGTTAAGACTGTTTGGCATTTCCATTAAAAAAAAAGAACAGACTTTAGTTTGTCATGGAAATATTTCTTACTAAAAAAACACCAAATTTTTATGACGTTTAGTTTTTTTTCTTTTTTCTGTGGCAACCTACGCTAAAGTAGCTATGGCTAATGAATTTCTTACAATATCAAAAGAAGATATTATAACTTGAAAACTATTAAATATAGGTACAGAGAATATTAATACAAACTGAAGCAGAATTAAAATTAAATTAAAATTAAATTCTCTTCCATTCAGTGAAGAAACAATTGGGGCCTTTTATTTAGAACAGTTGAGTTAAAAGGGTATTAGAAGTTTTCCAAACGTAACCTTCAATTTTTGAGGTAGAGTTATCGATTTTAAATAGAAAGGTACAAAGTCTTTGGAAATGTTTAAACTTAGGTATAGAAAAGGCTTAAATAAAACTCTCTCAAAATTCCTTGAGAATCCAAAAACACAATAATTTTTTTTTTAATTTAAAGCAACGAAGTTGATACTCACTTCCGGTGTAACCGGAAGTGTCGTCATCTTGAAAATATTTTTATTGAACAGGACCTAACCGATTATGACTATAAACAAAATTTTAGGTAAATATCGTTGTTAGAACTCCTACTCCTATTACTTCAAATGGGGGGTTTATCCAGAACCGCCTGTATTAATAACACTTCTCACAATCATAATTAATACATTCACCCATGGCAATTTGTTCTAATTTAGTGTTACACTTACTGGTTATCATCCTTTTCTTGCACTTGCAAAATCTTCTTTACACAGATAAAGAATTTTTAATAAATAATCCCTTTTTTGTCCAAGCTTCAAACAGGTCGTTTAAAGATAACGTAATCATGTTTAATGTTATTTCATAATGACTGGTAAAGTTTCTATTCTGGAAGAATTTTGTTTATGCAGATAATAATAAAATCTTTATAACTGGCCAATTGCCTCAGCAATCCGTTTTCTTATCAAATGTTATTATAATCTAGAAATATTGTTTGTATTACATTTACAAATTAGTCAACAAGATGTTGGGCTTTTTAACGTTGCTTATAATATTCATAACTTTACTAGTTGTACTATTTTATACGATTTCCAAAGAAAGGCCTGAAAATTTCCCTCCAGGTTTGATAAATATTGTGACAAAAATAGTTTTAAATGTTGTCCTTAGGTCCTCCTAGTTTACCAATATGGGGTAGTTACTGGTTTCTGCTAAAAGAAAATTACAATTTGCTTTACCTTTCATGTGAAACTCTGGGCAAACGCTACAAAACGGATATTTTGGGGTTCTTCCTAGGAAATGCCCCGACTGTGGTCACTCTAAGTTACGAATTAACTAAAGAAATGTTGTCTCGAGATGAATTCATGGGTAGAAACGACACTATAATAGTACAAACAAGAAGTAGGGGAACGCCTAAAGGAATATTTTTTACTGACGGTCAAATTTGGAAGGACCACAGGAGATTTGCTTTGCGCCATATGAGAGATTACGGTTTTGGACGACGTTCGGAAAATATGGAAAATCTTGCCCATCAAGAAACTAATTGTCTTATAGATTTCTTGACCAAAGAACCGTCAAAACAAGACTTGGATGTGTGCAAGAGGAAAGGTCTTGTACTAGTACCAGATTTTATGTACGGATCGCTTATTAACACCGTAATGTTGGTACTTACCTCGACGCAGTTTGACCACCATAAAGTACGAAAATACGCCAGGGCTGCTTTCCGATTTATGAAAAGTGAGGACTCAACGGGAGGTGCGATTACAATAACCCCCTGGTTGAGGTTTATTGCACCGACTTTTTTCGGGTTTACTTCAGCAGTTGATGATAATAACATTTTGATTGATTTTATGAAAGTATAGGTACAATAATTGTGTTCAATACTTATAATTACTTAAATTTTATTTAGGAATTGATAGATGAGCACGTTAAAACGTTTTCTGATGACCACCATCGCGATTTTATCGACGACTACATTAGTGAATCTATCAAACAAGGCATTGAAATTGATTGTAAGTAATATTTTTGGATTTATTTCAAACTAATACACTGTTTCACAGATACTCAACTTGCCTTAGTAACGCTAGATTTCATGTTTCCATCTCCTGTCGGAGTTGGACATACTTTGAGCTTTTATTTTGCACATTTAATAAATCACCCTGATATTCAAACAAAAATTCAAGAGGAAATTGATCAAGTTGTGGGGCGTTCCCGACTACCAACCCTAGATGACAGAAAAGAGTATATTTTTCGACATGTTGAAAATTTTATTCGTAATTTGTTTGCAGTTTGCCCTATTTTGAAGCAAGCATTCGAGAAAATCTAAGATTGATGCCAGTTACTCCTTTAGGCGTTACAAGGAGATGTGTTAAAGACACAATGTTGGGTGGATATTTTGTTCCAAAAGATTCGATCGTATTGGCAAATCTTTGGACAGCACATAGAGATCCGCGCATTTGGGACGATCCAGAAGAATTTCGACCAGAACGGTTCTTAGATAGTGAGGGTAAATTATTGAGAAAGGACTACACAATAGGATTTGGTGCAGGTTAATGTTAAAAATGTTTGTTTTGGTGGAAATGTATTATACAATATTCTATTGTAGGCAAAAGATTATGTGCTGGAGAAACGTACGCACGAAATACTATGTTTTTGCTAATGTCAGGTCTTTTGCAAAATTTTACTTTCAAATCACCTTGTAATAGGCCAATTAATCTTAAAGAAGTACTTCCTGGTGTTACATTGTCGTTAAAAGAAACATGGATTTCAGCACTACCGAGATAGGAAAAACTCACAGGAAAAAATAAAAGAATGATTGATTAGACTATTGTTTATTATTATATTATTTTTAAATAAAGTGGCAATTTAGTAATTTCTGTTGACAATTACAGGGTGTTTTGTAAATAAACCAAAAAAAGAAAATGCCAAGTAAGATAAGATTTAGTCGTATTCACGAGGGTAGTCTTGTGCGTCATTAATTTCATTTATTCATTACCAACACAAAAGTGACATAAAAATTCCATCACAATGTAAATTGAAACAATTAAAGGGTTAGCCTTGAACATTAATTTACATATGTAGGTATTTAAACAACAAAAGAATAAACATGATTCTAATCTATACTTTTTTTAAATTATTTGAGGAGTGTTTAAATAACAAAAAAGAAGGCAGTTTTCTAATAATTTTAATCGAGTATGTTTACAGACGCAGGTTTTGTAAACTTGTGTAAAAAAAGTATTAATTACAGTATAAAAATCGTTTTCCTAAAACCTACTAAAAATTTTATTACTTTTAAGTTAAATTCGGTATTGTTAAGAGTAAACCAGAGGATAAACAAATCATAAATTAATGGAACCCACCCGGACCGAGAAACCAAGAAGGAAACAGGTCAGTTTTTAGCAGGGCCGGATTACTTACTTTCTTTTTGACTAAAAATACTTAAAATATTTTTTTAATACTTTTTGATGTAGTTGTTATTAAAGTGTAGTATTTTAAGAAATTTAAAGAAGCCAGGTGGTTAATAATAAGCTGTTATTAAATAAAGTTGTTTTTTTTTATAATAGCTTGGTAAAACTCTACCACTATTTTGGTTTTAAATACCGCCCTGTTTTCTTCTGGTGGGTGCAGCAACACTTGCAAAAGAACGTACAATTTATGGAGGGTTACAAATTCAAGCCATTGTTGGGTTAATCTCTTATAAAGTGTCATAAAATTTTTAGTAGGTCTTAGGAAAACGATTTTTCTATACTCGGTATCATGTTTAAAACATTTTAAATTTAAAACTTCCGCTTAACTGTGCAGGCGCATGCGCTGAACACGTATTGTGGGTTGCATACATTGTCGTTGTCTTCCGGTTGACATGACATTTTAACGTTTAAAAAATAGTGATTTTTTCAAATCCCGCGTAATATTTCGTATCCATAAACTTAAAATAGCTTTCTTTGAATTGTTTTGTTGTGTTGCAACTTCTTACTAACTAAACAATACTATGCGAACCTCGATTTTAGTGCTTGTTTCTTGTCGGTTATGAATGCTGGATACTACGCCCAGAGTAAATAAATCTTTATTAAAAATGATTATTTTAACTAATATAAAACGTTTCCAGGCAGCCCCAGTCGAGAATCTGGAGTTGTAAGTGATTGTGACACAATGGCTGAACTTGCAGCATTACTGCGCTCTGAAATCCCAGAGGGGCGCAGTAACTTGACTGATAACCATACGAATCTGGAAAGGGTTGCAGAATATTGCGAAGCTAACTATTTCCAGTCAAATAATAAGCGTGTTGCTTTGGAAGAAACCAAAAATTACACAACCCAATCTTTAGCAAGTGTCGCATATCAGATTAACACTCTTGCGTTTAATTTTTTGCAATTATTGGAGCTGCAAGCGGCGCAATTAGCCGAAATGGAGAGCCAAATGAATCACATTTCACAAACTGTGATGATTCATAAGGAAAAGGTGGCAAGACGCGAAATTGGAGTGTTGACTGCTAATAAATCAACTAGTCGACAATATAAAATTATAGCTCCTGCAAACCCAGAGAAACCTATCAAATATTTGAGGAAACCAATTGATTACAACAGTAATTTTAAATATTAACAGTAAATTATTTTTCCGATGTTTGATTTTTAGTTTTTGATGATATTGGTCATGGGGTGAGAAGCAGTGGGACCCCGAGACAAAAACAGCGGGGTTCGAGTCAGGGAAGCATCCAGTCTATTACAGCCAATCCTATGGTGGGCCCAGCACCGACTACCAAACCACCAACACCTCCACAAGTCTCAAGAACATCAAGTAAAGGTAAATATGCATGTGCAAAATTTTGTAATGTTTTAACTTTTTTGTAGTTTCTGTTTCAGGAGGTACGTTGAGTAAGGGCAGTCGCGAATATCGCACTCCACCAGCAGTGGCGCCCCCTCAAGTCCCTAGTCACTACGCTCCCAACTATCCCATTGGTCACGCAAGACGTTCCACTGAAAGGGGGCCTGGTTATAGCACTTTGCCCATGGCCCCAAATCAACATCAGGCAATGTCGCCACCACAAGTAGGAATGGTGCATCCTATGAATGTAAATCAACAGCAACATCCTCAAACTCCACCGCCACCGCCTCCACCCGGTAATGTAGGAAACTACATTCAGACGGAGCATCATATAAGCATGCCGCGTATGTAAGAAATTAGTTGCAGAATTGTTGTAACATTTTGCTTTTTTAGCGCCTCCTTCACCTCTGATCAGCCAAGAAATGCAAATGCCGTCAACCCAGCACCATCCCATGATGATGACCCAGCATGCCCCAGTGCCTCATGGAAGCCTGGGAATGCATACTTTGTCCCATGCCCATGGCCAGCGCCTCGCCCGAAGTAGCGGTGCTCATTCTCCTCCATTACCTCCTCCACCTCCTCCAGAAGACGAACACGAGGCTTTTGGCAGACCTCGCACCAGTGGGGTCATGCCGATTGTGCCCGATGAGGAAGATTTGCCTGGATGGGTTCCCAAGAATTACATAGAGAAAGGTATTAAGGTTCTGTTTTATTATTGTTTTTTATTAATTTGTTTACAGTTGTTGCGATTTACGATTATTACGCCGATAAAGATGATGAATTGAGTTTTCAAGAAAGTTCGGTTATTTATGTGTTGAAGAAAAATGATGACGGTTGGTGGGAAGGTGTCATGGATGGAATTACGGGATTGTTTCCTGGGAATTACGTGGAACCTTGTGTGTAATTTGTTAATTAGGTTTCCGTTATAAAATGTATTAAAGTAATAATTATGCAAATCAATTATTAATGGTATTTACGCATGACCCGAGACAATGGAGTGACTATATCTAAAAGGAAATTTTTCAAACTGTCTAGAACGAAACTTAGTAGATGTTTCACTATTCTGTAGATGGTATGATGGTAACTGTATAATTTATTATATTATTTTTCTTGAAACATTTGTAATACATTTATAAGTAATAAAAATTCTATATCATAAGGCTTTTTTTTCATGCCCCAAACTTTTTTAGATACGTTTCTTGGCGTCGTTTTCTAATGCAATAACTAAAATCTTCAAGAATTTTTTTTGCGTATCTCAACAATCAGCAATAGATTCACTAACTAAAGTTGTTTTTTTTTATTCACTAGCAGCAATGTTTAGTACATTTTCTCCTGATCCTATTTTTATCACTGTTTTATAAAAATTTTGCTATAAACTAAAGTTTAAAAGATATCAATTAATAAAATACGAGTAATATTCATTATCATTACCTACTTTAAGACATTATAAAATTAACAAGATTTAATTGTTGTAACAAAGAAATGTGCTGAACTCGCATTCTTCTTTATTGTTTATTTAAAATAATGTTAGCCGTATTTTTACCTTTAAATTTTAGTGTATTGAACCTGATGATACAATGTGACCGCAGTTCGTTGTACTTTTCATAAAATGACTAGGTATTTTGTAGAATTCAATTAGCATAATTGGTAAGTTGATTTACCTTTGTCACCCACGCGTTTCAAATATGAGTGAAATGCTAAGAACCAATAAATAATCACAAAGCAAATGTTTTTACAAATTGGTGCATTGTAGAAAATGTTAATTTTGCCTTTTGTAATTGAATTTCAGTTTATTTTCAATACAACTAGCAATGGGTAATAAACATTTAGATAATATAAATTAAATGATTTGAAGAGTTGCGATATGTTTGTAAAACAAATTTAGTTTGGAACAACAAGCTCTTGTTGTCTTGCTTTTTTATATTTAGGAAATTTAACACATATTATTGCTTTTATTTATTATTAATATTATATCATTATGCTTGTTTCACTAGTCTGACTACACTTTAGATTAGCTTTTTTATTAACTTTTAAGTAATAATTTTGTGGCCAATGGACTAAAATTTGCTATTAACTTTAACAAGACTTCTGGAGAAGATGATTTAAAATAGCCGTAGTACTCGGCACGTATAAAATAAATCTTAAAACAGTTGACATGGTTAATGCCACCGAAATGTAAATTTAATGTACGATCTCTCCACTTGGTAAAACTTGCACAACCTTTGTGCATTTCTATTCGATTACATGCCAGCCAACCACCAGAATAAAATTCAACCGAATTAAGGATTCTTCTCCCGTAAATCATAATAATCTTCTTTTGCAATTTTTACAAATCGTTTAAGTATGTTCAAGCCTAGATAAACCTAAAGACTCTTGATTTATGATATGTAATTTATTTCCTGCCTTGGTTGCAGTAAGTATCGATTATGGAAGCATACTTAACGGGAAACAAATACAGGGTGTAGAGAAAGACGGGGTAAGATGACGAGGTTAAGCTTCTATGATTTTTCCTGGCCACTGTAAGTAAATGGATTTAAAAACCAAAATTTGTATAATTGTGTCATGCTTAATACCAGGTATTTTTCAATTGCATTGTCTTTGTCACCTTCAAAGGGACAAAAGACGGATTTTCCCAAAAAAAATAATTTTTGGGAAAAACTTAAGATTTAAAAACATTAAAAAAACTTTAACAAGTAACTTTAATAAAAAAAGAAAAAGATCTGAAAGGATGTGCAGAAATCGCATTTGTAGGGCACATGGCTGGCCTCCTTCTGATTCCATCAGGAACACTCAGAATGAGCCCACTTGAAGGACTTGAAACACTGGTAATATAGTTCATCCTTGCCATCTTCCGGGCATATGATGCACAATTTGTCTTCTTCGAAATCTAGCGGGTCCATATCATCATCAGTCATCATTGTCGACGTAAGGTACGGTTTATGATGCTCGTCGTCGGAAGATGAAAAGAAGTCCAATTAACGACGTCCTTTCTTTATGTTCGCCTTCTTCGTCAAACTTGTCTGTCTTTTCAGCTCTTTCTCTTCTTGTTTTTTTTTTCTGTTCCAACGTCTTTTTGACAAGAGTTCCCAATAAAAGAAACGCCGGCAATTTTTTCCTTATTACTTGCCACTGCTGGAAGTGGAGGAAGAGTCGAAGAAGTAGGTGGACTTAGATCCATAGACTGGGAAAGAGTTTGGGAGATCATAGGCTGTGGTTGAAGGTGCTGGTTTGCAGGAGAATTACAAATTAATCGTCATCTTCCCCCCTTACGCCATTTTTAACAAAACAAAGCTTATCACTAACCAAAACTATTGTAAAAGTAACAAACCTCCCATGAACTAGTAGGTATTGAGTCCCTAAAACAGCTGTTTTCGGGAGCGTATACAAAAAACAAATTTTGGACTTTGTTGACGAAAATACCCGTGCAAGTACTCGTATTGCACCTCAAATTGGCCTGACGAAAAGCCATACCTAATGCATGAACAACATTTTCAGTAGGTATGAAAATGAAAATAACACTCTGAGAGATGTTTTTGAGTCGGTATGGGTTGTAGTTTTTTGTTGCGGATTTAATACTCTTATCAAATACACTTGGGCTTATTTTTACGTCATTATTCCTGTGACCACCAATAAATCAAGTGTACTAATTGGTATTTATTCCATGTTCATGGTATCTTATCTTACTTGGAATTTATCTCTGGGGCGCAAGTTCTGAAACACGTTGTATAAAATAATAACGAGTCCCGGTTAAACAAAAAATCGGCTATAACGAGTAAATCGTCTGGTCCCTTGCCGTTTTGTGTACTACTTTATGTAAAATTCTCCCTCTATAGTGAGTATTTTTCTGGAATTAACAAAACTTTTATTTTGTCCAAGATCGGTAATAGCGAGAAATTGTGAGAAATTTTGGTTATAACGAGAGTTCTTAAAAGAAATAAAAATCCTGCGAGTCTCCATTACGTATTGTGTAAGTACCAGATTTTTTTGGAAATGTTGTTTTTGCGCGCTAATGGTCTTATTTTTCTCACTTTCTCAGTCTTGAATAACTTTTCAAGCTGAGAACACTTCGTCTTTCTGTATCAAGATGTCGTCCTCGAAAAGAAAAACGTTTTCTATCAAAGAAAAAATATCAATAATAACAGAGTTGGAAAGTAGTAAAACAAGCTGTACAAGCTGGACAAGATTACGAGTTCAACTGGTGAATTTTTATCAAAAGTGAAGAAGTACGATACTAAAAATGCTAAATTAGATAAAGCCGTTCTCAAATAGTTTAAAGTGAATCGCGAATCCAATGTGCCCATAAGTGGTGCCAAGTTTAAAGAAAAAGCAGAACAATTTGCAGCTTCTCTAGAGATGAAATTTTTTGTTATTGGGTTCTTCCACCTAACCACGATGTCTTTTACAATAGCCTTGTACAATGGAAAGTGCAATAATTGATAAGATAAAAATGCTTCATTACAAAAAAAAAACAAACAAAAATTACAGATTTTTTCTTAAATATTGTTTTAAACTTCTTTAAATTCGTATTTAATAAAATAATTTGCATAGTCCATGTTTAAAAACTTTTTTATCCATGACTGTTTATAGCGAAAATCGGTTATAACGATCAAATATTTTGACCCCTTGAGTTCTCGTTATAGAGGGGTTCTACTGTATTTTTGGGATTAACTCGAATCGTAGAGAAGTAGGTAATAAAAAAAAATACATCGTTCATTTTCGTATTCTAACAAATAGAGGCAATAATGCCATGAGGGCTGAGGCTTTTATAGGTGTCTAAAAACCCTGTTTCGCACAGACTTGTAAACACATTAGGATTTCCCATTATTTGGCTCCCAAATTTGCAAATTTACGTAGGCTTATAATTTGGTTTGATTGCGTTTGTTTGTGGGTAGCTCTAGTTCAATTTCCACTCGTGTATATACCTACCTTATCTCCACTATCCTCCGGTGCGGTCCCTCGGAATGAAAAGAAAACGTCGTTGAAACAATCGCACATGAGGTCTACTAAAGCGAACAAAACTTTTATGTTCCTTGAACGGTAATAGAAAGAGGGAAATTCATCGGATTTTCCTCAATTTTGCGCAAGTACAAACAATCGTCGTCTGTCGTGCGAATCCGCCGGATCCGCATGCTACCCGTTAAACAGCTATGCAACGTGAAATCAGAAATCAGTCGTTGGTGAGTCGTGGAGTGCTGTAGGCTGTGGAGGTGCCCACACACCTGTGAAGGAAATGTTCGCACGAGACGATGTCGGTGCGACAACGACTTTTATTAACCAATTTTAAGATGCTGAAGACAACGGCCAAAGAATTTTGCTGTGATTTGTGTCCGCGGTGTCGCTGGGAGGGACAATGTTGATGCAAGAAGTTGTGTGCGGTGTTGTGCTCGTGTTCACTTCGGCTATTGTATACCTGTCTGCTTCACCGTTAGATCCAGTACGGCATATGAAAGGTGAGTTACAAAATAACCAACTGAAAATATGTTTCGAAATACACATGGTTTAAGTCTGCAGGAAATCACCTGCGTGACCGCAGGAAATTAATTAAAACAAGGAAGGCTCCAGGCTCTTATTTATTAAGCAATGATAGTCCCAACTAAATTTAAAAAAAATGCATTTTGTGGGATATTATCATTGTTTTTGTCCAGTCGAAGGTGAACCGCTTTGGAATTCACCTTTACTTGTTTAAAAATGCACGATGATGCGTGTGGGATGATGTAGAAAAATATTTGTCCTTAGAGATTAAATGCCACTGCTATGGCCATTCTTACTGATTAATTAATTCAGTTTGTGTTCTTGTGAGTTGTTATTACATAATTGAGATCAATGGTTACAATCGCTAGGTATGCCTTCACCAGTTCTATTGGCATTGTCAAATTAGAGATGTTATGCTTGATGGTTTTTCGTTTAATAAAAACAGGGACATTTTAATGGCATTGATAAATACTGGCACCTCATAACCGTAATAAATCGTTATTTTGGTTTCTAGGTCAAAATAATCTCAGTAGCTTCAAGAACTTGGGAGAGAATTTAGATTCGGACTACATTATCAACATAAAGAATATTTTCAATTTTTAAATTAATGGAAAAAGACAAATAAATAATTATAAGTCACTGTAGGAGAAAGTCTTGCTAGACAACTGATTTAAAACGAAAAAAATAACAAAAAAGAGAGAGAAACAAGAAAATAAGAGTTTATTATGACATTATTCTTGTCATATTGGTCGCTTGCTGTAAAAATAATATAACGGTTAGTTTTAACAATGTAGGTTATGAACTATAACCCAATGGTTTTTTCAGCATGAATAAGCAATGAGTAAACGGTTATCTTCCTGACTCAAATATCTATGTTAGCTAGGTGTTAATTTGAAAATGTTTTCTGACTTTACTCTTTCTAGCACTGTACTAAGAAATGGCTACAAAAATTAATAAAGTGGTAGATTTTTGTGAAATCAAATTTCAATTCTTCCGTTTTAAAAATTGATGTTTTGCCTTTAGAAACTGATTATTTTGAAAGCTTGAAAGATTTGGTCACGACGAAACAAAAGTATGCTTAAAAAAATAAGTAGAAGAATCAAACTACTCTAGACAAGTGCTTGAAGGAAAAAAGGAAAATATTCAGTTTTAAAAAATTTGGCATTTTTTTGAATGTGAAGTTGGGTGTGAATATAGTATTTTAAAAAACAAGTTTTATAAGACCAGTCTTGAAGCACGAACTCAAGTTTAAAAAACGAGTGGCATAGCCACGAGTTATTTTAAAGAATAAGTGCTTCAAGGTCTTATGAAACGAGTTTTTTTTGTCTTATTTTTATATTTTGGTCTCTTTATGCCGTTTTTAGACATTTTTTTTTACTTTATCTAAAATCGGGATTGTTGCTAATGTCGTAATTTTAAACGTCAAAATTTCATTTAGTTGAAAAAAAAAGGTTTTTTAAAAAATTATGTATACCTATAGATTTAAGCGAGTATAATAATTAAAAAAAATGCTATTTTATATTGTAAATAATTGTAATTAGTGATAAATTAGTACAGTTTCTTTTAAACTAAAAGTATTTTACCATTAATTCTGAGGATTAACATAGTTTTATGTTCATCGCTGAAAATTAAATTTAATCCGATTTTAAGATGTGGCTTTTTTGAAACGTTAAAACTGTTTACAGTTAGTAAAAATACTGTTAAGAAGTAAGTAACTGGTTCTTATTATGAGTACTAACAGTAAGAAAATGAAAAGAATTGAATTGGTGTGAATGTTACAGAAACTAAACGATATTGTAAAAAATTAATAACGCGCAACAATAGTTAGTTATTACAACGTCTCTTTCTATAAGTCTGGTTTATAACCGTTTGAAAGTCGAAATTTTATTTTATTAACAAATAAAAATCAAAAAATTCAGACATAATATTTAACTACATCTTTAAATATACACGTTTTAACATGTTGTTACTATAGATATTATTATTATTGCTTTATATTGGAGTAGCAAACTTTTAACAATGTATTGATAAAAAGCTTTTTAATTTATTTTTAAAATACGAGAAAACCTTCGTCGAATTCTATCTCGACGACGGGATGTCAGATTCGTCTCTTTTTCTATCAGCTCTGAGAATAAGTGTCAGTTGATATAAATGTACAAAAAACATGGAGGTATCAGAAATATAATGAAATCTTTTTGTCAGCCTATCTGTGGTCAAGTCGTTGGAGTAGAAGGGAATTGTGGAAATTCCAATCGGAGCAAGAACTCGAAAGGTCTTCTGATGATTGAATAGTTATCATCAAGCTTGAATTATCTGGCAACAAGTATCGACATTTTTCATTTGCTAGAATTGTCTTCTTCTATTTTTCAAAACAGAAAGCGAGAGCTATAAATCCATCGTTTCTCATTGTTATTACTATTCTTGCTACAATTGTGATAAACCCACGTCTACTCTTGGAAGTAGGTACTCGATTATTTATGATTCAGTGAATAATTTACGGTTTGCGTCTTAGAATTGTGTCAAAATTTCGATTAAGTAACGTTTCAATAAGATAAGGGTTAATTGTTTGAGATGGAGGTTTTAACATTCTGAAATAAGGGACCAGCAGAATGTTAACACAAGATTCGTCTTTGAATGCGGTCTAGATTTCCACTACATTACATATTCATAGTATTACTTCAAGTTTAACTGTGATTTGTGAAGTTTATTTAATTCTCAAATTACAAGATTACAGAATAACATAAATAAAAAATAGTTTTAAAGCTAAATTAGAAGTTGAGGGGTGCGTTATTTAATTAAATCAATAATTTAAACCCTGATTGCACTCGTATATTACTGCTTTTTAAATCTGAAGCGAAAAATTAGATATGAGAGTAAATAAAAACATTTTTGAAGACCCTTATATCAGGCTTTTCAAGGGATTAATTGAAATTGGTAAGCCGAGCAGATTTTTGATTAAACTTTTTATTAAAAAGTTAAAATGATGGAATAAGAGATTTGCGTGTAATTGTTTGATATTCATTCATGTACAGAATTCGTCTATACAGTGTGTCCTCGGATAGATGAAAGGTTAAACGATTCTTGTAAAAGATAAAAATTTCTCGATTTATATTTTCTCTTTTTGGGGTTCAGCTCTCCTTGGTTAAAGATTGATTTCAAACATAATTTTACTTTTAAAAATCAAGTAGCCTTGGAAATAAAAAAATATATTTTTCTGTAGAGTAAAGTGACAAATACGACAAAAAGTTATTAAGAAAAGTTGTTTACAATCAACATTTAGGTCTCTATATCAAATTTCAAAATCATCGGCGCACTATGATTTTTTATTTTGTTTTTAATTGATTTTTATTAACAGATTAGTACTAATAATCTAAATCGTAAATTGAATGTATTTTTTTGTTCGTAATGAAAGAATTGTTAAAAATAAAAATTTTTGATTTGCAAAGTAGTTAGTAAACATGAAAAAAATTGGTAACGGGTCTAGATGTTGATTCTAAACAACTTTTCTTAATAACAATTTGTCGTATGTGCCACCCAAAAGGCACTTTACAGAAAATTTCCAAGGCATACTTGATTTTTCAAAACTAAAATTATGTTAGAAATCAGTCTTTGACCAAGCAGGGCTGAATCTCAAAAATATAAAATTCAAATCAAGAGTTTTTTATTTTTTACAAGAGTCGTTTCACCTATCCGGGGACACAATGTGTAAGAAATGAATAATTTTGGTGATGTTGCTAGATAATTGAAAGAGTTTTGTAGGTCAGGATTTAAATCAAGTTTCACGTGCAAGAAATTAAATAGGTACAATTTACTAGGACGTGGAAGAGATTTATTATCGCCTATTATTGAAAAGCAGATTTATAAAACGTTTATGCGTAGTTTCTTATTATTTCATTATTCTAATAACAACAACGATTGCGGTTTGTAGAACAACATTAATTAATGTTCTTGCTAACAATATTCTTTCTTGATGCATGAAATGATTAAAGTGAACAATTTGTAACGTTTTCTTAGCTTTAAGCAAACTACAAAGCAACATTTCTCAAAATCGAGTTGATTCTTCGTTTTAGGTAACATATAATCAGTTTAAATAAGCAACTACTTGGGTCTATTGTTGATTGTTATTACATGCTGATGAGAAAGTAACGTATTCTGAAATAATCAGATCTTTACAGTGAAATTTCTATCAAGATTTTGTAGCTATTTTTAAATTTCAAAACTGTTAGAATAGAGACATTTGTGGTGTGCATATTTTAATAAATTTGAAGCAAAATTTGCAATCACGCACAACACGTGGTAAAATACAAATTAGCATTCTAGTGGCAGTGCATTTGCTATTTGTTGATTTAATTGACACTTCCGACAGATGCTTTTAAATAAATTCAAACACTACATTTAGGTGTGTATGACATTCTGTTTTATACAGGGTATTTCACATAATTTTTCGAGGCTTGATGCGCCTGTAAGATGCAATCATTAATACATATGCCCAAACGAACTCGATTACAAATTTTGAAAAAGCGGATAATCTTCTCTAGTTTGTTCACTCTTTCAAAAAGATATATAAACTAGAATCATATTCATGCCGTCTCTTGATAGATAAAATGATAATTGTTTCTGAAAAACTGCAGTTTATGACTATTAATGAAACAGTGATTAGTTTGGCAACTACTATCATGGGATTTCAAAAATGAAATTACTAAATGAACAAAAATACGATTAAACCCGTCACACCAAACTTTTATTTCAAACACAACGCGTTTCAACCACAAAGTGGTTATCGTCACGTGAGGATAAAAACTGCTTAATCGTGTTTTTGTTCGTCATTTCGATACCAAGAGGATCCAATAAGAAGTAAAATAGTTAAATGTGTATTTTTTGTATGTAGTGTTTTGTGACTTTTGTATATTTGGGTGCGTTCATTAGGCGCAAGCATCGTAAAGTTGTGTATACACTGAGCAACATTATGAAAAACTGA